GGTTTGTTTATCTCTGTGCTCGCAGGCGCTGCAGCGGGTCGGGGTTCGGTCACTGAGAAGTTAAAACCGTCTGTGGATTCCTGCATTTCAGTCTCCAGCAGGCAAAGAGAAAGACCAAAAGTATTCCTAAAGCAAACAAAAAAAAAAAAGGGACTAGAATAGAAAGCTTGGCCTTTGCGGTGACAATTTAAACTGCAGTTGGTGAATAAAGCGGTGCATTTCAGTTCAGGGAGGTGGGAGCTGTAAAGAAGCTGCATTTTTTACACACTTGCTGCCTTCAGCCATCATTCCCATAAACCCCCACTTTTTTGTGCCCTGCCACACATAAATGCTTGTCACCCTCAGGAAGAGCAGACACGTAAAACCTCCACGTTTCTGGTGCCAGGGTTGCCTGGCAGTAGAACTGAACCCAGCCGTTCATCTGCAGAGAGGTCTCGTCTGAGGTTGTGTGCAGGGACTGAAGGATAAGCAGAGCCTCTCCTAAAGGCGGTTCAGAAGGGGTGGCTCGTGGTATTCAGAGTATTTTCCACAAAATACACGGAATTGCTTGGATGAGACATGATTTCACAGAATAGATTCAGCGAAGATTTTAATTGTTGGCCCATGAGCTTTGGGGCATTGGAGCAGCTTGTGGTGAATAGCTGATGTTTGGTTTTTTCTTCTTTTTTTGGAGGCTTTTTTTCCCCACTTCAGGCACATTATTTTTGCCATGCAGCCTTCCAAAAACTGTTTTTCAGAACGGTGGGATCTTTGCTGTGAGCTGGTGTCCTGCTGTTGGACAGTGGAGCTGAAGCAACTCTACCTCCAGGACAGGCTACCAACTTCACAAGTCAAAAGCTGGGCAGACTCTGAGATGTTTCCTTGACTTGGATGCATAAAATTTGACTTGCTTCGTGGCCTTTTTCATTTTCACGAGTATGCAGTAACTTTAGTTTCATTTTATGTCAAGATCTTTTATTGCTTTCTCTTCCAAAGCCTCATTGTTCTTCTATCTTAACCCACCAACCTGTGATGCTTGTAATGATTATGCTGCATATCTCTGTGATTGAAGATGGTCTACACAGAAGGAAATACTAAGTGAAGTCCTCTCTGTGTCATCAGCCTGCTGGCCTGTGTTTATCTTCTGTCAGAAAGTAAAACCATTGTATCCTGGAATCTGGCTGCCTGTTTGTGCAAGCATAAATTATTAACCAGGAATATCCAGGGGAAGGCCAGAGGTGGCTGAAAGGTGCATTTGCCAGGATCTTTCGCTATAACCTTCCCCCCCACACCTTTCCTGAGGGAGATATGGACATAGTGCTGGTTTGTCTTGTCTCCACAATTAACCCAGGTACTAAATTGAAGGCCGGGGTAGCTCAGATCATATCCACATGTAAAGGTCCTTCATTTGACTAAGGAGGCTCGTCCCTTTAACTTGCAAAGTGGGCATGAATGCAGGCCCAGGTGCAGATTTGCCTGCTGTTTTGCATTGGTACGGGCTGGGACCTATGGAGTATTTTCATCTCTTACCTTATTTATTTTACTTTTCCTCCCCCAGGTCTCAAAACACAACTGCCTCGTTTGTACACTGGGCAGCTGGAAGTGGTTGTAGCATCTTAGCAGAGTGCTCTGGGATGGGAGCTGCACTTGGTGATGCTTATGGGTCCCTTCCAGACTGAGGTGTTCTGTGTTGTGTGTGAATAAATGCAGTGCTGATGCAGAGTCAGTGATGTGAGGACTCTCTCACAGACCAACATCCATCCCTTGAGCGCTGACAACTCAGGAGGAGAACTTGCACACCAAGGCTTTGATTTTCTAGGCTGGGTCTGTCCTCACCCAGACTGTGCCTCCTTCCTCAAGTGCTGCTCCTGCTGCAGGGATGGTGAAGCAGCAGCTTTCTGATGCAATTCTCAGCTGGCTTGTTCAGACCGTGGTGCCACTCTGGGCTCTCCTCACTACACCCGTCCTGCTCCTGCGGCACCTCCTGAACCACAGCAGATGATTCACTTCTGTTTGGAAGCAGGGTGGACAACCAGGGGCTGGCAGAGGAACCTCTCAGCTCGCTCAAGTTACGTCCCCAGGGTGGATACTGACTTTGTCTAAGGCTCGTCCTTCCTTCACCTCCTGCCAAATATGCTTTCACACTAATACTTCACCCAGCTGGCTAATTTGGCCTTTGAAATTATCTCAGTAATGTCAGGTGCTTTAAAAAAACATTCCCATCCCTTTATAAATATTCTAATCTAGATGTACAGACATTGTTTCGGTGGTGTTGGGGATCTGCTGTATTGAAAGGAGGAGTTGTGCAGTTCTGTGCAGCAATCCAGAGAGGAGCATAAACAAATCCTGTGTCAGGCTCAAACAAGTCGGTTGACTTTGAGGAGGCAAAATGTAAATGCCCAAGTCAGGGGAATTAGTGCCTTTTGTAATATTGCAACAAATGCAGGGAGGTCCTTCCTGCTGACAAGCCTGAAACTTTCCTTGTTTGAAAGAAAGAAAAAGCAAAAGAAAAAGCACTTTGGGAAACGGGCAAAGACGGGGTTTGGGCAAGGCCTGGGCAAAGGGCACCTGGTTTCCAGTTAAGGATCCATCCCATTCTCCTAAACCACCTCTGAACCAGGGATAAAATTAATAACTTTTGAAGCCCTTGTAGCTAAACTTACCCGAGTTCATGGATTTCAGGCTCCAAGTAGCAGCCGACAGGTCCCTCCTCTTGGAGAGGACGAGTTTAAGAGGCAAATCTGGCACATTCCCATCTTTGCAGAGCAGGGAGGGGCTGTCTGCTCCACTGCTGGCATGGTTTCGCATCCAAGTCTCCCTCTGCTGACCCTTGTCACCTGTTTCTTTACCGGAATTTAGAAATCTCTGCCTTTTAAGTGATAGAGCTCTCGAAAATATTTTTTGCTCGAGTGGGTTTAATATGCAAATAGTGGAACAGAGCCAATGGTCCATCTCAGGCAGGCTGATCCTGGAGATTGCTCCATAAAGGTTTATTTCAGCCATTAGCTGCTGTGCCAATATTTTTCTTACAAGAAAGGGTAATGATTTTTTGCAACCGAAAATTGAGGGTTTCGCAGGCTGCGAGTGGAAAATTGGCAGCTGAGCTCATCTGCTGCAGACTGAAAGGCTGTGGCAGAGGGAAAAGAGTTAAATGAAAAGCATAATTCTTCAATAAGAGCTTTAGAAATTCATGTTGCTGTTTAGCTCTAGATAGCACACCTGAAAGATAGAATAAAGGTAATAATTATATAGACAGACCATGTGCACAGAGTTACAGTTGTCAGACTCCTCCAGCTCAATAAATTATTCTTAAAATTGGGCATGGCGAATTGAAAGGAGTTATTGGGTTTTAAAAATCTCTCACAGGAACTTTAAAATTCCTTTTGGCTGGTGGTAGCACACAAAAGTTCTGACTTTACCTGTACTTAGTCCCTAGGTTTGGGGTATTTTTCCCTCTGAAGGGCTCACAACAGGAAGAGGAAGTTAAAGGTTGCTCTGTCGTGCTTCCACGGAGCAGTGGATGGTGGTTCTGTAATCCTGTTTTGTTTCCCGTTGAATTGCCAGAGTCCTGCAGATTTTTCTTTTTTGGTCAGTTGTTTAAACACCAAAAAAACCAACCAAAAAAAAACACCACCAAAAAAAAACCACAAGAGAAGCTTTCTCTGATTATACAGTTTGCCAGTGTAAGAAATAAGTAATTTTTAATCCATTCTAAAAATAGTTTCCTGTGTGGCTGCTTTAATTATTGCTAAGACGGAGGATTTGTGTATTTTTTTTCCCATGAGCTCCTGGGTTAAATAGTGGATTTCTTTGGTCTGTTTGCTTGACACGTGAGGTGAGGGCAGTTTTTATTCTGCTGGCTGTGTTGGGTAGGGAGTACTGAGAGGTGGAATTCTAGTAGAAGTATATTTAAAAAAATAAATAATTAAAGTATTTGTTCCTTTACACCTTCCTTCTCCACAGTGTAGAATTACAGTGAGGCTGAGGGTAAATCAGGAACAAGGGAAGATGCAGATGAGAGGGAGGAATAGCCTATACAGGAGGAACTGAGTATCTTCTGAGCCTTCATTCTCATCCTGAAAGATCTCTTTTCCCCACTGGAGGAAAGAGTAATTAGGGTTTTTATGGTTACCTTCCTCCCTTGGATCCCAGTTTGAGATAAGTTAAAGCTCTAATATTTTCCTCTTTGGCTCTGGAGTTGTTTTTAATGGATGCCAAACAGCTCGGGTTGCTGAGATCGTACTGAGCAGCCCTTATGGAAAAGCAAAATTAGCCTTGTAGCTGGTGATAGACCTGGTAGAAATGGAGATTGATGTGAGTTTCCTGAGCTAATTCTTCCTTAAACCACCGTGCTGGTGAGTAGAATTGGAGAGAGGGAATCAGTGTCTCATTTGCGGCTCTTTGGAAGGAAAACTTCTTGATGCAGGGGTTTTTGTGTTTCTTTTTTTTTTGCCAGGATGTTTATTTTTCTCCTGAGTGAGGTCCTGTCATACTGACCCCCAGACCTTGCTGTGTTTACAGATTGCTTTTGCTGTTGCAGGATTCCTCCCATGTCTTGTTTCACCGTGTGTCCTGTCCCTTTGGCGTGCAAGGAGCAGGAGGTTGCACTGCATTTGATGGGACTTAGCAGAGAGAGGTCTCTTCCAGCAATGCCAGGACGTGGGAATTCAATTTCCTTAGCTCAGAAACCGTGTAATCCTTGTTCTAAACTGGGTGGATTCTGAAACAACAACAAAAATCTGGTTTAGCATTTGTGTAAGCATAAAGTATAGAAAATTAGGAGGTTTTAATGCAAAGGGACATTCATTAAATCTTCTGTGTGTTGTAACAATAGAACTGCAGCAGCAAAGGAATTTTTATGTAAATCCACGTTCCAATCACAGATAAAGAAAACAATGCTCACATTTAATATTTAGGTGGGTTTTATGAATTATGATCAGGTATTATTTGAACTGATGTGATTACCAGAAAGCTTTGTTTTACGGTCTTAACATTTCTTTATCTGCTGTTTTGTTTTGCAGTATTATGTGCCAAGAATCTTGCAAAGAAAGATTTCTTCAGTAAGTATGTCCTAATTGTGTAACTTTCTGCTCTGGCTTAATCAGATTTGTTTGTCGATGGTGCATGGCTGTGGTGTGTCATTTGCTCTGTGGTTCCCTTCTTACAGGAGCACCGCACTACTACCTGAGTGCATCTTACTCTGAGTTGTAGGTTGTGTAGAATTTAGGGGTGAAAAGGCTGAGGGCTCCCAAATTCTGATGATGCCACAGTCAGCCTGCTGCTCACAGCTCTGCATTGGGGGTACCAAGAGCATCCATCCCGAAGACAGGGTTAACTCAAATAGTTTTAGGGTAATGGCAGCTTCCCTTTCTTGGAGGGGGGAGCAGAAGCTCATGCTGGCATTGTCTGGGAAGAACCAGAACAAAGGGCTGTGTTTAATAGCACCTTTTCCCTTCCACAGGACTTCCTGACCCATTTGCAAAAATAGTTGTGGATGGGTCGGGTCAGTGCCATTCCACTGACACTGTGAAGAACACGTTGGACCCCAAATGGAACCAGCATTACGATCTGTGAGTTGGTTGTAAGGTCATAAGTGAACAATATTCCAGAGATTTCTCGGGAGCGCAAGGGTTGGCACTGCACATTTATTTCACATTAGCCAGAGTTGTTCACATGTCATAGAATCCCAGAGCGGTTTGTGTTGGAAGGGACCTTAAAGCTCATCCCATTCCATCCCCTGCCATGGGCAGGGACACGTTCTGCTATCCCAAATTGCTCCACGCCCCACCCAACCTGGCCTTGGACACTTCCAGGGATGGGGCAGCCACAGCTTCTCTGGGCAACCTGTGCCAGGGCCTGCCCACCCTCACAGGGGAGAATTTATTCTTAATATCCCATCTAACCCTGCCTTTTCAGAGTACTGATTTGTTTCAGCAAGAAATCACCTGTTAGTAAAGGATTGGTACTTTGCTTTTTGTTGTTTGAATTCAGAAATATTTGTGTGTCAGGTACAGCACAAGTGCTTGGAGTGAGCTCTGCTGGAGCGGTGCCATCCAGCTTTTTACAAGAGACTGTCCTTGTTGTAATGATTTATTTCCTTCAGATTATTAGAACCATAAATTCCAAAGTTTTGTCTGTTAATTGACTTGTTGTTTAGTTTTTAATGAGGCTGGCTGTAGTTAAATTCATGCTGCAGCAATATCAATTTCCCATGCTGTGTGAAATCGTTGTGCAGTAATTCATTAATAACAGCATTTGGGGCGTAAGCACTTGTGTATTTATAATAAAGAGCCGTGACTGATGTACCAAAATGTGTCAGAATTTGTACCAATTACAGCGTCGATTCTGTGGAGTAAAAAGAGCTTGTTATTTCTAAAATTACTCTTTTAATATGTGTTTTTCTAGATACGTTGGGAAAACGGATTCCATAACCATCAGTGTATGGAACCATAAAAAAATCCATAAGAAACAGGGAGCTGGCTTCCTGGGGTGTGTCCGACTCCTCTCCAATGCCATCAGCAGGCTAAAAGATACTGGATGTAAGAGCAATTCCTACCTGGGGTGATCAAGAACCCTCCGTGCCCTGTCTCTGAGTAGGGAATAGTGTCCCCACCCCCCCCTTGCCAGGGCTGATCTCTCCCATTCTCCTTTGCAGACCAGCGTTTGGATCTATGCAAACTCAACCCCACGGACACCGATGCTGTCCGAGGCCAAATAGTGGGTAAGGATGGTCTCAGCCACGCTCCACCCCCTTGGGAAATCCCCAAAGGTTGTGTTAAAAAAGCAAACCTCTGTCGTCGCTTCTGTGCCTTTTCCGTGGTGCTTCTTGTGATTTCAATGGGATTAAATTGCATAACCTGGGAATTTTCGTTGTACTCCTATGCAGGAGTTTGTTGCCTCTCAGTTGATGGTGGGAAACAGTGTTAAAAAAAGGGAATGAGTCTGACAAGGCTTCAGCAGCAGCTCTGGGAGGGTAAATGCCACTGTGAAACTCATACCTTTGGCCGAGGTGACAGGCAGAGGGAACCTTAGGTGGAAAAAAGGATCTGGAGGAGCTAAGAGAAATTTTATAGATTTCTGGTGTAATACCTTTGACTCCTGTAACCCATTTCCAAATTTCAGCAAGGCAGCGTTAGTTTTACAGCCATTTCCCCCCACGTTTTCTACCCCCACCCAAGCCAAGCTTTTCAGTGATACATAAATGTATTTGGCAAACCCCGAATTCTCACCCTAATGATGACATCTAGTGGTGAACAGTTTTTTTCCAGCTTCCCTTTCTGGATCCTCATGAAACCCAGATGTAGAACTTGACATGTTTGATATTTATAGAAATAAACTCGAGTTTTGAGGGGATGAGCTTCTGGTTCCTCTTCTCCTTTTTAAAAAAATCAATAATGCTTTAAGATTAGAGAAGGAGTTCTGGTAAGTGATGTGCTCTCCTATGTAGGAGGGAGCTTTCCTTAATATTTTCCCCTGTATAAATGTGGATTGTGTAGCTTTTTGTTGTTTTTAAGATGCAGTTGTTTTTTTATTAACCTGAGTTTGTGTTTTTTTAATTTCAGTCAGTTTACAGACACGGGACAGAATAGGCACAGGAGGTTCTGTAGTAGACTGCAGAGGGCTTTTGGAGAATGAAGGGTAAGGATTGTTTACTTTACACTTAATTAGAAAAATGGTTTATATGTGGAGAGACTATAATTAACATTAGAAATATTAAATATCAGTGTGCCTGGGAATATGAATCCACTATCTGCCAACAACTATGCAGAAAGTGAGGTTATAGCTGGATAATTACTTGAAGAAAATAAGCTTAACTGGGTGGGATTTATGTTTTTTTGTTACCAGTGCTTGTGGCACTTCCCTGAGAAATTTGGGGATTAAAACATTAAGAAAGGGACATAAATTGGGCTAAAAGCCACAGTGCTTGAAGCAATGGGGAGGGAGGGAACAGCTATTTCTGCATTCACTTCTCTCGTGATGGAAACTCTCGAAGTTTCCCCATTTTCAGAACGGTCTATGAAGACTCCGGGCCGGGGAGGCCGCTGAGCTGCTTCCTGGAGGAGCCGGCGCCCTACACGGACACGACGGGAGCGGCCGGAGGAGGCGGCTGCCGCTTTGGGGAGTCCCCCAGCCAGGAGCAGCGGCTGCAGGCGCAGCGGCTCCGCACCCCCGACCTCCGAGCGCACGCCCAGACCCCCCAGAACCGGCCCCACGGGCACCAATCGCCAGAGCTGCCCGAGGGCTACGGTACGAGCGTCCCACAGCTGGGCTGAGCCTTGGGAAAGGGGCTGAGCGGTGCAGATGGGAGTCTGGGCTTGGCTGATGGTCGGGGTACACCGAGGGGTTGGGGGTGAATTAAACGCGAGGTTGTGGTGTGGATTCACTGCTAATCTTGGCTGTGTATCCGGGGAGAGGGAATGTAAAGGGCTCTTCAAACCAGAGCGGTAACGCGCTATTTTTTTTTCTTCCCCCTCCGTGTGTTGTGTGGGTTTAGAGCCCACGTTTGAGGAGAGATCAGGAAAAATATAAAAGCAACAAAGCAGGCAGTAGTAGAGGAGATTAGGGAGGATGGGATTAAGGAGAATCTAAATCTCGGAAAAGAGCCCAGCAAATCTAGGAGTAAAGAAATCTGGTTTGGGGGTTTGGGTTGTCTCAAAATCTAAAAATAAAAATACCGACTGAAACATGTTGGTGAGTTTCAAAAGAATCTTGAAATGTGTAGCCAGAGCAAATTTTAGAAGGACAAACCAGTCCATTCTGCCAGAGATCGGGGGGGATGGCTCCAGTGCTTTCTCCTAGATCTGACAAACAAAATATTTTAATGGCTTGAAACTGTTTATTCATTTGTTATTTAGAATAATCTTTCTTCCTTTTTTTTTTTTTTTAATAGAGCAAAGAACAACGGTACAGGGACAGGTTTATTTTTTGCACACACAGACTGGAGTTAGCACATGGCATGACCCAAGGATACCAAGGTATGTATTTATAGTTAAAAAGTCAGGGGTTTTTGGGAGGGAGGTGTGACAGGATGCTGGATCTTTAAGAGCAAAGATCTATGAAATGGCCTGTCTGACTTTAAAGGGGGACCTCCCAGCAGAAGAATAATTTTGGATCTTCCTAATTCCGTTTTCACCAAACATTAAGGATTACTGTTTTTGAAAGAAAGAATTATTTACTTGTGAATTATGTAAAACAAAAGGGGGAGAATATGTAGCCCTTCAGGAATTTCTGTTTGAAAAATTCTTCCTAAAATGTCGATGTGACTGTGGTTTTTGGTGAAGCTGCAAATCTCTGAATCTTACTTACTTTTGTGTATGAAAACACTTTTGACTGCAAATTGAAGAAAAAACTGACTACTTCCTTAAAATAATTATCTCTTGAGTATTGAACTTGCAGCTCTTGCTTTATTATTGCTCAGTTATGTGTAACTGAAGCAGAGATTGTTATATTTAAACTTGAAATGGAGTTGAGGGTTTTTTGATGCTTTAGGCCAGTGATTTGCAGCAAGAAAATTGAATCCTTCACATGATTAATTTAGCAAAGCCTCTTTAAACCTTAACCTGCAGTTAATCCAGGTCTTTGTAAGCAAGGTCTGGTGCTCTTCCTGGAGGAGCTCTGGATCTGGGCTGTTTCAGGGACCACCTGCACACCAGACTCAAGAGTGAAACATGAAGTTTGTAACTCTCAGCTGCTGCACTGCCTGTATAATGCAGGAGTGTGATACAGGATATTAGAGAAATGATATAAAGTAGTGCAGGCAGAAGTGTTGATAAAAGCACAGTGTATGGAAGGAAATGAAAAATAAAGCTGAGAGAGAGAGGCAGAAAATAGCTGATGTTAGATTAGCTTGGTATTGTTGGAAGAAGAAATGCCAGTGCTTGTTCATTTGTGTCACTCGTGTCAGGCTTGTGTGCCCAAAGCCTTGTCTCTTCCTCAAGTGATGCTGATCAGCCTAATGAGAGGTTCTGCTGCTTCTCTGCCCCAGTCCCAGAGCCAGGGTTCCAGGACCAGCCACATAAGTGGACACAGCAGTGTCTTGTGAGTCACAGCTCACACTTATTTTAGTTAAAGGTGACTCCTTCTACAGCTTTTGTGGTGCAAAAACCCAGCCTTGGCATCCAGCAGAGACGTGGGTTAAACCTTGCTGCAGTCAGATCTCTGCAGCACTTTCAGATGCACAGCTGATCCCAGCAAATGGTTCCAACCATAATCTTCTTTAAGGAGCCCAACAAGGCCTCGTCTGTCTGCCTGTGTGTCCCCTTGGCTCATACTCCCTGTGACACCGAGGAACCTCTGGTGTGCAGAGCATTCCTGCCTTTCTAGAGCCTCTCAGTTGATTCATTTATGCAGAAGTTGCAGGTTTAGATTTAGGTAAGGAAATACATTAAGTGGTGCCTTCAATCCTGAATCCATGCCAGCTGTCTGGAGAATGCTTTACTTAACAATAGTGTTGGTGCCTAAAAATAATCCTCGGGTTTCCTTCCTCCCTTTTCTTGCCACTACTTGTGTTTTCCTCTCTTAGGGGGCTGGAGCCTTAATTTTCAATTTCTTAGGTGTAAATACATCCTACATAACTGAGTTCAAACACTACCTGAAGCGATACCTGAAATTTATTTAGAGTGAAAGGGGTGAATGTGTTGGTAAAGCCTTACTCTAAATGATTTGTGAGTCCAATAGTTAGGATTCAGGGCTCTTCTTACGTCTAATTTAACAGGGGAGGTTTATTTTTTTAAGTGACCTTAGTATTTGGCTGCCTTATCCTCTAAGGGGTATTTGGAGACTTTGGTTGGTGCAGAGGCCTTGGTTTAATTGTTACTGGTTTTCTGCACATGGATCTCATTAGTGTTAATGGGAATTTTTCTGTGAAACTTTTGCTATGGAAAAAAAAAAAGTCTTTTTACAGCCTCCCTTTACAGCCCTCAGAATCCCTGTCAGCACCTAAATATGTTCTGTCCTTCCCAAGACTTCCATGGCCTCAGTCCCTGAGCACTGAATTCACTCCTCTTGCCCTCTCTGTGTAAAGTGGTTTCATCTTAACTTCAGATGTGCATTAACATGTTGTTTCTTTTCTCTGTAGAGACCTTAACAGTGTGAATTGTGATGAACTGGGACCTCTGCCCCCAGGCTGGGAAGTCAGAAGTACAGTTTCAGGAAGAATATATTTTGTAGATCACAACAACAGAACCACACAGTTCACAGATCCACGACTACATCACATCATGAAGTAAGGGTCTTGCCTGATAAGTAACTCATGTCAAGTGTGGATTCTTAAACCTTGAATTTTTGTCCAGTTTTAGCTACAGTTGGAGAGTCATGTGGGGCTGAAAACCTGAATGATAATGATGCTGCTGAACAGATGCAACCAGTGCTGTACTCAGGGTCTGAGCACTGGTCCTCAGTTTTTTGCAGAGGCTCTGCAGAAAGGTTTTTACTCTGCTCAGAGTACAGTCCTCAGGTTTAAGGGAGGCCTTGCTTACTTTGGCACAACACTAACCTCTTCAAGCTGGTTTGACAAAATTTCCCCAAGCAGTGCTGGAGCAAATGCACAGCCCTGGAATTGCTGGGGTGTGGGGTCGAGGGTCTGCCAGGGCTTCCCCATCACTGCCTGTCTGGATGAGCAGTTCTAGCTGGACCTGGCCTGGCTCTGTGTTCCCTGGAGCTCCAGACAGCAGGAATATAAAGCCAGCTGGAGTGTGGTCAACTGGTGCTGTGTGCACAGCCAGTGGGGGTTTAGCAGGATTTAGGAAGATCAAGCTCTGCATCGTGCAAAGGCAGCTGAACTGTTGTGGAACTGACCCTGCAGGCAGCCTGGCAGTGCTGCTTGTGCCCAAGATCAGACTTTGCCTGGATCTGAGTTGCCTGTGCTTGAAGCCAGCTGGGGAAATCTCTGTATCCGAAAAATAATCGCTTCCCAACCCAAATAAAGCACTGATGGATGAGGATAGTTGAATGTATGAAGCTGCAGCTATTTGGGACGAGCACAGCTTTCTCTTTTGACACCCATAGATGCAGTATTTTTACTGTGTTGGAATCCCCAGCCTCATTTTGCATGGAGCTGGAATAAAATTAGCTGCAGTTGTTAGACAGTTCCATTTATAAAGCTGTTGTTTGTTCCATTAGAGATCTCTTTTCGTGTTACACCCTTGAAAGTTGTCTCCATATGGGAGAATGCCACACAAATTTAGTCAGCATTCAGTGATCATGCTCCACAACCTTCCACAGTGTGTGTTTGCCATATAAAAATGGAGCTCCAAAATGCTGAAACTCTTCATTTTAAACACCCATGTTCCTTACATCCCTGAATGTTGGGTAATGATGCTACACAAGTTACTTAATTTAAAAAAAAAATCAGAAAATTAAAAAATTCACCTGAATACACACTCCAGGTTCCTCTTAGAGAAGCCTAATCAGTTCTCCCATCGTTGTTTTACATATCCCTTACTGTTATGCGTCCTGAATAAACATTTTCCTTTTCTTTCAAAGCCATCAATGCCAGCTGAAAGAGCCCAGCCAGCAGCCTTTGCCAGCTCCAAATGAGGGGTCCCTGGAAGAGGGGGAGGAGTTGCCTGCACAGAGATACGAGAGAGACTTGGTACAAAAGTTGAAAGTCCTTAGACATGAGCTCTCCCTTCAGCAGCCTCAGGCTGGTCACTGTCGGATTGAAGTATCCAGAGAGGAAATATTTGAGGTATTTTGTTTGCTTTACTACCAACAGCAGGTTTTGTCACTCCAGAACTGAGTAAAGCTGATTGCTGGTTATAGCAGAGTTTGCTCATGAGAGAGAGAGAGTGAATCCCACTCCCCACGTGGTACAAAGAGTTGTCATTGGAATTTGCTTCGGGTTGGCACTCGCACACAATCGTGTCTTCTGTTGTTGAGTAACAATCTGTGTATTACAGAAATGCAGAAATTTTAATTGCAGTGTTACAGAAATCTTAATAGACTTAATTACAGCGAGGAAATAGAGTATCTGATTGTACAAATACCCCCTCAGGAGTCCTACCGTCAGATAATGAAGATGAGGCCAAAGGACTTGAAAAAGAGGCTCATGGTGAAATTCCGAGGAGAGGAAGGCCTGGACTATGGAGGAGTAGCAAGGTGAGAATCAGGGGTTTGTCTGACACTTATTAACTGTAAAATTGTCCTTTAAGTTCCCTGTGGCTGATACCATTCCCTTCAGAGTTTTCTGTTAATGGTGTGTGTAAGTTATTTATGGTGTATTTTACAGGCAGAGGTTGCAGCTTTGTATCCATAGGTAGACTGGAGAAGTGCAAGTTTGTGATTTAATAGTTGTCCCACTTAAAGTCGTGGAACTGGAAAGTGTGATCAGCTCAGGCTGTGAGGTCTCTCAGGAGGTGTCCAGACTCTGAAGTCAGATCCGGGTCACAGGAACAGTTTTGTTAAACACACCTTTCTGATTTCCAGGGAACATTCAGGAGAGCCCTCTGATCCGTTGGAGCAGCAGTGGAGATGAACTAATCCCAAACAAAGGCTGGAATTTTAGCAAGGACTTGCCTCCCTCTTAAAAATAACAATAATTCCCTGTGGGTTGCCTCAGATCTGAGGTTCTGGAGCTGATTGTAGCATCAGTGAAACGCTCACCTTTGTGGTGGCTCAGGTGCTTTGTGTAAATTCACTGAGAAATTCCTCAAATCCACAAAGGCTGCATTGCCCACTTGGGTGTCTTTCAGTAATCAATCCCTGGACAAAGGGAAGAAGCTGGAACATTCTGAGCTGCCTTACCCGAGGTGTCTCCAGTGTTGACATCCTGTTGCCCTGATGTCTTTCATAATTGCCCATTAGTTGCAACTGACTCTTTCAGATCAGTACAGCTCCACTTCCAAGCATTAAAATTGATATGTCTCTCAGAATATTTTGGACCTGGGATGAGTGCCCAAATTTAACAACAAAGGGGTGTTTGTCAGGGTGAGCTGGGAGGTCAGAAATGGCTTTAGTTCCATTCTGGTCCTTGTGTGTTACTGAGAGGATTTACCCAACCCCTCCTCTTACTGCGTTTGGTCTCCGTCCCTTCTGGCCTCTGCTGAAAGCAGAGATTCTCTGGTCACCAAGCTGGAGGGAAAAACAGCTTTTCTAAGGATCACCAGTGATTGAACTGATTCTGAACAGCAGAATTTTGGAATACTTCTTTATCCTGTACAGGTTGCAGAGGAGCAGATCTTGCAGGCTGCAAATAGCTGAACTCTGCACACAGTCAGGATTTTTTTGGAAGCCTGTGTTGTTTGGACTCAATTAGTTGATGGCATTGTCTGACAGCTTGTTGTACCTTCTCTAATTGATCATAATCCCTTCAGTGCTTCTAAACTAAACCAAGTCTGCCTGTGAGTGGAACAGGACACTGTGGGTTTTTAATCTTACCTTTTTTTTGGTCTGCAAATGGGGGGCAGCACAAAATGATGTGACTTTGAAATAAGCCTTTCACAACTGATAATTCACAATAATTGTGTTATCTGAAACTTAAGTTGCACCCTTCTAAATTTTTTTTTTTTTTTTTTGGGGCAGAGAGTGGTTGTATTTACTGTGCCATGAAATGTTGAATCCCTATTATGGACTCTTCCAGTACTCCACAGATAATATTTACATGCTGCAAATCAATCCAGACTCTTCTATCAATCCTGTAAGTAGTAATTTCTGAGTGACATTCCTGCTTTAACAGATGTCCCCTGTGGTGTTTTATAGATGTTCTTCCACGAGAAGAGTCTAAACTGGAGGGTGAGGCAGAATAAGGTGGTGTTCATGTTTTATACTGAGGTGGTATGGAGCAGAGGGGCTTTGTTCAGAGATTAAAAACATGATAGAGGAGGTGTCCTTTGATAAGTACCTGATTTCTTTGAGGCTCCCCAGTACTGATTGGGATGCACAGTGATTCTGAGAAGACAAGACACAGATGAAATCCATCTTCACCCTGAGCAGCTGGCTGTGCACGCAGCATTGCACTCCCAGCAGTGCCCACCCCGTGACTTTTAGGGATGTATCCCTCACTTGCCCTTTCTCACTGCACTCCTGTGCTTGCTTTGTTTCTTACTGGAGGATTTATATTGATGCAGACCCTAAAAGGAGCAGCAGTTCTGTATTAGTACAGGGAATTCTTCCTGACATGACATTTCCTGACATTTGCACTGGAAGATGAGATTGGAAGAATGTCAACCATAGGACTTACACCTCAGTTTTCAAGAGTCAGTTTAAAAGGAACATGAAAGGAATGAAAGAAACAAGCACATGGCCTGCTTCCTCAAGGGCCAATATATTTTGATGGTTAAACCAAAAATTACCTAATTTGTTTGGAATTGTCATATCTTCTTGCATTCTGGGGGTTTTACAGGGGTTTTCTTTTTCCAAGTTTTGCCCTTTGAGAGGTCTGGAGGACTTGAATCCAATTTATTAATTAACTAATGCACAGAGACTTGTTTGAGGTATTTAATAATTAAAGGCTTTGGTTTCGGTTGTGTCATGAGGGAAAACATTGTCTCCTCTTGCCCGGAGGGTTGCAGGATATCCTGAATGTTCCACCGAGGGCACAGGTGGAGCCACAAGATGTCAGTGTCTTCCCAAAGCCTGACTCCCTTTCCTCTCTCTCTCTCTCCCTGCAGGACCATTTGTCTTATTTCCACTTTGTGGGGCGGATAATGGGTCTGGCTGTGTTCCATGGACACTACATCAACGGGGGGTTCACCGTGCCCTTTTACAAGCAGCTCCTGGGGAAGCCCATCCAGCTCTCCGACCTGGAGTCTGTCGACCCAGAACTACACAAAAGCTTAGTCTGGATCTTGTAAGTACTGCCTTTGTCAGCAGTCTCACTGTGGAGAAAATGGGGTAGAGTAAGTTGGCAATAGTGAGGTAACACTTTACAGAAAGTACTTGCAAAAAACTGTAATGGTGGAGATCTGTGCAAAATCATTAAACTGCTGCTTCTGTGTCAGAAAGCTCAAGATACTTGAGGAAAAGCTCTCATTGCAAACTGTGTTCACTCTCCTTGCAGTGAAGTACATACTTCATTAATAATTAAATACTGCATGGGTGTGGTAGAATATCACAATAGCAAAATCCAGACTTGGGGCAGAGCTCTGAGGGGAAGTACCACCGCCTTCAGAAGAAAACCAACTTTGATTAAAATTAAAAGAAATGGAAGTAATTCAGGCTTCTGTACAGTTACAACTCAGAACAAAATCCAACATTCAGTGTAGCTTTGGGGCTCTTCAGCACTGCTTTGCATTCCCTCAGTTTCTTTTCCTAAATGCTGTTTGACTTTTGTGTTTTAAGTCACTGATGGTGTTGAGTTCACGGCACGTGATCTCTTCCATGCTCCACACTGTGTGACAGCAGAGCAGATCCTGCTGGGTGTATGTAAATGGGGGGGTAGAGGGGGGATATATCTGTTTTTGTTCATTATCCTGAGTTTTCCTAGAGTTAGATGGATGTCCCATGTCTGATCAGGCTCTTCAGCATGCTCTAAACTATACAGAAATAGGTGATTGTGGCAATATTCCTCTAGTGGGTGAAATGCAGGTGGGTAGTTAGTAGGTTTAGCTTGAAGATCACCTAAGTGTTTAAATAACTGGCAGCATCACCCCTGAGAGTTACCAAAATATCAGAAATAGTAAGTTTACTCTCTGTCTGTCCGTTGCCAGGGAGAATGACATCACGCCCGTCCTGGACCATACGTTCTGTGTGGAACACAACGCTTTTGGGAGGATTTTACAGCACGAGCTCAAACCAAATGGCAGGAATATTCCAGTGACAGAAGAGAACAAGAAAGAATATGTCAGGTATTGCAGAACAGAAGGATATCCTGCCAGTGCAGTGGAAAGGGGGCAGTAAACAGATTAATTTTTTTTGTATATAGTGAGACCAGTGAAACAAGTATTTTGGGTGGAAATACCTGAGTCATAAATGACACGAATGTTTTCACACAATGCACTATTGTAATAGCTGGGAGGACGAAGCTGTGAAGTGTACACTGGTTTTTCTGTTGATGGTGTGAGGAACTGATAAGCACTTCTTTCATAACACAAACTGTATTAAAACAGGTTCCTCTGTAAAATGACCTTTTCCCAGCTCTGCTACAAATATCCCAGTCCCATCCAGCTCATCATCCCTGACTTTTTCTTCCCCCTCCCCACAGGTTGTACGTGAACTGGCGGTTTATGAGGGGAATAGAGGCACAGTTCCTGGCTCTGCAGAAAGGTTTTAATGAACTTATTCCTCAACATCTCCTTAAGCCTTTCGACCAGAAGGAACTCGAGGTATGTTTTATCCACATGGAGTATTGTTTTGTAATTTGTTTGATCCGCAATCAAGCCCTGATTAGAAAAAGCCAAAGCAACCAAGGACAAGAAAACCCACAGAACTTATTCCAATTTACATACCAGAAAGCAGGGCATTTGTTTAACCAGACCCTCTGTGGTTTATTTTAGACATTCTTTGGATTAATATTATTGAGAGGGCTACTTAAACAGGGAGAGGCAAATACCCCATGGTGTCTGTGCAAGGACTAATGCTCGAGGCAGGTGGTCTGAGCAGGGAGGGAGCACTTCAAGTTTGAGGAATTGCTGGCAAGACCTGACATGTTACCTACCCTAGAACTTGCTTTGTCCAGTAACTTTTCATGCATGGCTGTTTCTATATGCACACAGGACAGGGTTTACAGGGACTAAAACAGAAGGGTAGAGCATACACAAAAGAAAATAATTTGTCTTATTGTTAAATCCTGAGGTGCAGAAGGCTCTTAAATACCTGTTACAGCAAGTTTTCTTTGGGTTTGCCTTTTTTTAAAAAAAAAAAGGCAACCTGTGGAATAGCAAGCATTTGTGGTATTGGAGCTTTGTGCTAGCCAGTCATTCATTTTGATTAATCCTACAAAGTTACTGCATTCCATTTGCTTGAAAAGGCAGATTAGAAATCCATTAAATATTTCAACACTGTCCACGTCAGAGCAGTCACAACTGTCCTCATAATGTGCACAGGTGTAAGTGGGTGCTGCCTTGGTGGCACAACAAGGCAGCTGCCAAATGGCAGCTCTCAGAAATGTGATCCTCAGTATGGAATAGTATGGGAAATTTAGAATATGACACGTTTTGTTTGGAGGGATGAAGTTTTCTCTGTGCCTTTTATTTTGATTGCTTGGGAGGTGGTTAGATTTTGGGGGGTTTTTTTGCAGCCTGGTATTATCAGGAAAAGAGATTGAGGTGGTATGTCTGGTCTGTGTCAGAGCCTCTCACAGACGGCGTCAGAAAACAGATGAGAAGTTTCTGTAGTTTGTTGTGGAACAACAAAGCAGCTCAGATGTTCCCATAAACCGAGCAGGATTCTGTCATAGCTGTTGTTGGCACCTCTAGGACGATCCTTCATCGGGACAATGATGCTGTGTCAGGCAGCAGATGGCTTGTCCTCTTCCAGATTCGTGCTGTACCCTCATAAAGAGAGGCTGTGCCTTTCAGGTAGCACAGATTTAATAAAGCAGCTCTTGCATGGCCCTCTGACTCTGGTTCCTTGTGAAAAGTTCTAGTGCTGCTAATTCATTGCAGTTAAACTGAAAGATTTACTGCCTGTCCTGTACCGGCTTGGAGTGTTGCCTCGCACCAAAAAGCTGCTTGAAGCACCTGAACAATTCCAGGCTTCACGTGAGGTGGTTGGATGTGTGTTTTTGTAACTGCAGCGACTCCCAAGGTGAAAGCACTTTCTAATCTTTCAACAGCTCATCATAGGAGGGCTGGATAAGATAGACCTGAACGACTGGAAGTCCAACACCCGCCTAAAGCACTGCATGGCCGACAGCAACATCGTGAAGTGGTTCTGGCAGGCGGTGGAAACCTTTGATGAGGAGAGGAGGGCCAGGCTGCTGCAGTTCGTGACGGGGTCGACGCGTGTCCCACTTCAAGGTTTCAAGGCTTTACAAGGTGACTGATGTGGAGGCCGAGTTCACGTGCGGTGGGGGAAGGAGATAAAAGCGGTGTGGTATTTACGGGCCCCTTGTAAAGTATCAGAGGAACGCTGGATAACTCAAGCACTTGCAAACTTCAGGGCCTGAGAGCAGGGTTACATTTGTCAGATTTGTCAGCAGCTCTGGGGCTGCTGCAGGGTGTGGTAAATCTGTTACCGTGCAGTGCCTTGGCTGGTGTTAATACTGGCTCCTCAGTGTCCTTCAGCTCTGTGCACTGGTGTTAAAATCATTGCATGCAAATATCCATGGGAATATAGAGCTGACTGAATGACTTTTTCACGTGAGAATTGCCCTCCCTTCTTGGTTTGGCAATAAACTGTTGGACTTTAAAGCAAGTTTCTGTAAATCACAGGTTTTGTCATTGAAAAGGTGGCAGCGCCCTTGGCTGTTGGGGTCTCCTGATCACATTCCATTTGTTGGCTGACAGTAAATTGATGTTCAAAATTAAAATACGTAGTTCTGGTTTACAAGGAAAACCTTCTTGCACTTTAGTCTTTTCATTCTCGAAGGTGCAGTGTTGTTAATACCAGATTTAGCAGCTTTCCAAAATATCAGCCTGCAAATTGATTGTCTTGGGCAGCCCTACTGCATCTGCCACCCCGTCATCAGCTGCAAATATCTCTGCAGATTTAGCCTGGGACATACTTAGGTTTGCAGCTGGAACTGTAATTTCCTCTCATGCCTTTTTATAAGCAGCAAAATTTGTGTGTGTAAGTGATGTTTTGTTGAAGTGCATTAACTAGAATGTCTGTCTAAGGTTCTACAGGCGCTGCAGGACCCAGACTGTTTACCATCCATTTAATAGATGCAAACACAGACAACCTTCCAAAAGCCCACACTTGGTAAGATGGAAACACTCTGCACAGCGGTGCTTGCTCTCCCTTTGTCTTGATTTAAAGGAGTCATCTCTGTTTGTACTAGGGATGGATTAGCCATGGGATGTACACGGATGACTCCAGGTGTGCTCTGTTAGCTTGGAAATATCTGTACTCTGCAGCCAGCAAAATAATTTTCTTTTCTTAAACCTTGATTTGTCTTCTTTACTCTCTCTGGTTTTCATTTATGCCAGAGCTGATTATTCTGGATAGTGAGACATTTGTAAGTTTATTTCTCTATTACAAAGCTGAGTTGTCAGACGTCAGGAGCTCGTGCTGTTGGTGCAGGGTAGGCACAGCCTGAGCCCTCGCACGGAAATCTCACTCCATCAGAGGCAGGAAATGGTTTCAGCAGCAGCACAGGCTGTCTGCAGGCAGGGCAGGGAGCAGGCCTGCCTGATGTCTTGCTTTATTTGCAAGTCTCCTGCATCAGCCTCCTCTCCTCCTCCTCCTCCCTATTAAGCTGTACATTCCTGCTGCAGAAATAGTTGTTTTTCATCCTGTCTCCTTTGGCCACTGAAGTGGCTGAGGCTTTCTTGGAGTTTTCACAAGTTCTATCTATATGTAGCTGCTCCAGCATTTCCCTCCCCCCCCAATAAATATTTCAGATTCACCAGTGTGTTCTTATTTCCCCTCCAGCTTTAACCGGATCGACATTCCGCCTTACGAGTCATACGAGAAGCTTTATGAGAAGCTGTTGACAGCTGTGGAAGAGACATGTGGGTTTGCTGTGGAGTGAAAAAAGCAACCAAAGGAAACAGATGCTAGCTCATGGACCACCAAATCAAAAGCTAGAAGAAGCTTGCTGTGAACTTCCTGCTAAGCTGTCTGAAGCATCAGAACTCTGACAACTTAGAGATCGGGCTGTTTCCCTTCCGCCGCTGGTGGATGAGGGGTGGGGGGTCGGGCCTTTTGTTGGTGGTTCCCAACTCTGTTTTCTCCCCTTTGTTACAATAACCCCTTCCCTCTTCTTCCATCCCTCCCCCCCCCCAAACGAAATGCAGCCAAGTTCAGCATTTGGCTTTGGTTACACAGGATATTCTGCTAGATTTGTAACACATATTGTGATAGGGTGAGCGACCTGTGGGGTTTTTTTAATAGGAGAATCAAAGTGTAATTAGGAATGAGCTTAATTTGCTGAGAACTTGCAACCGGTAGGTGCACCTGGTTAGTTTTGTCTTAAATCAAACTTGAGCCTTTGTAGAGTCCAGCAGGTGCAGAGTGTCTGACTGGCACCAGAATTCGCATTGCACATTTTAAACACCTGTTGAAAAAGTGAAAAACTTCTAGCAGAAAATACCTCCATATGAACACTTAACTGAAAGGTAAAGAAATCCAAGTTCTGCCTTAGCAGGAAGCTCCCAGTGGAAGCTGTGGCTCACCTTGAGAAAAGTGAAGGAATCTGAGACAGCTTAAATGGTATTGAGTGGTGTCTTTTTGGTTGTCCTGGCTGAAATCTGATTGTTTTGCACATGAAAACAATTAATTTCCTCCTGCAGAATTACTTTCCATAGTTCATTCAGAAGTAAGTAGCTTGCAGAGAAGCCTTGTGAGGAGGAGACAGAGGGTGAAGATCCGTTCAGCCCCAAAGCTGTGATTTCTGTGCCACTCTTTTACCCCAGATGTGTTTGCCTGACTTTTAAATTCCGAGACTCACATGGAAATCACTAAAAGCCGAGTTAACAGAGCAAACTTCTGCTGCAAATTTTCTGGCCTTGGGAAAGGTTTATTTGGAGGTTGAGGTGAAAGGGGAACCATGTAGTGAGTCCATTTGAAGTGTTGTGGAAAGCTATTGGAAGAATTTATGACTTCAGTTCTGTAGGGATGAAAATTTCTCCAGAGAGCCATATAAGGCTATTTTTTCAAATATCTGAAACTAATATTAAAAGGTTTGTTCTCTTAACACGGGGGAAACAAAAGCAAATCAAATACCTGAATCACTAACATTTTTTTTCCACTTTGCACACCAAGATGAGACAGTATTTTAACAAATAACACGGCTTCAGAGAGACCCAGTTATCTGTCAAACATGTCTAAACCTAAGTCAAGCAGACTTGCTCGTATAGGATTTTTTTTTTCTTTGGCAAGCCTGATATTTAGAGAGATTCATTACTGAACCATTTAACAGATGTTATGTTTATGGAATAGTGCATTGAAATTCAGCTGTGGGTAAGAGATCGTTCTTAGGAGACGTCTACTGGAATACTTCTATTTTGTCTTTTTTTTTAATTGAATTTGATAATAGCTTTAAACTGTGATAGGACAGAAAGTAGACACGTGTCAAAACCCTGGCATCGTTCTGTTTTGTTTGTTTGTGGTTTTCCTTTTGCCATTGACCATAATTCTTGTGATTTGCTGTTGGGAGTAAGGGTTGCATCGGAGGTGTGAGATTGTACCAAGCAGTGAGATTTGCAGGGGGTGGCTCAAGATGCTCATCCTGCAAGACTCTACAGGAGAGGCCTGTTCAGACCCTTGTTCTGTAGGGGATCTTTTGGCACTTGGGGACCAGTTTCTGCAGTTCTGGTTGTCGGGACGTAAATGGAACTACACAACTCTTGCAGAGAAGAGAGGAGATGCAGCTGTGGCATCAGGTGGAGTAGCAGAGTCCCCACAGCCCGAGCTTTTCCAAATGGCTTGGAAGCCAGACCTGTTCATAGGGTGTATTTAATCTTTTCAGTACGTTTGAATGTGCAATAAACCAGTCAGATAGGAAAAAATGCAAAATGGATTATTGCCCAAAAGCTTTGCATGCAGTCTCATGTGGATTTGTCACTAAAAGAGTTTAAAAAAAAAAAAGACCCCAAACCCAGATACTAAAGGCCAGCCCTAACAAAAATCCTATCACACAAAGCTCTACCTGCAGCTCAGCTGGCTCAGTGCAAACCAAGCGAGGTGAAGGGAAAAGGCCCTTGATTTGGAGATCTGTAGGTCAAGTAGCTTTATGTCAGCGACACAGTTGACATACGGTAGTTCCTAATGTCTTTGCTAGGTCAGTGTTTTATTGAATGCACAAAATAAGATTAGGCAAGGATCGTTGTTCCGAAAAGTCCGTCTGTTTTTTTGCTGTGTTTTAAAGCCCTTGTCGAGGTACCTCCTCCGTGCTGACGGCGACGAGAACGGGGCGCTGTCTTTTTGATTATTTCAGTTCTCTTTCCAACAGCTTCACCACCTCTCCCATCGTGTTGTCTTTGCAATTTCGTGCCACTTCAGCGACGATGACGACGACATTCCCTGTCCTGTCCTGTACGTGCGTTCGAGGCAGGCCTTAAAGCTGGTTGGGTGGATGGAGGAGCAGCGAGAAGCGAGGTTTGGAGCCACGGCTTGTGCTTCCTGTGGCCAGTTCCAGGGCCAGGGAAGGACGGGATGCAAACAGGAGTTTGTGTGGCTCGGGTAACCTCAGCTGCCTGAATTGGTGTGTCCATTCCCACTCGGTCTGCCAGCACTTGAACTGGTTGTAAACTTCTCAAACTTGCCCAAAGAATAACATCGAGTCCGGTGTCCATTCTGTCATTCCACGTCCCACCTTGTGCGCGGGTGCTCTTGGATCTGACCCGAAGGGAATACGAGGTACAGCGTGTCTGTCGTTCCTGTCCTCACGGCAAACCCAGCAGCTGCCGTGCCCTGATCCTGCTCCTCAGCCTTTACTCTACGCTCAGGGATGTAGGAAAAAACCCCCACTCTGCTCGTGTTTCCAGCCGGGGAGAAACGAGACTGTCGGATGGGTGTGAGTGTTCACTTGGGCATTACGTCAGAGGAGACCCCGCTCCACAAAGGCTGCTCCAGGCTCCGGGCGGTGCGACCGGCGCTCGCTCAGCAGTTTGGCCTCACTTCGAGTTCGAGGTGGTTCCAAAATCCAGCAGATTCCGTAAATTACTGATCCAGCCACCGGGCCCCTCTGGAGCCGGTGCCCAGGTTCAGGGCCGTGTGGTACAGCAAGTTCCCAGAAACACAGTATGGATCTGGTTTTAATTTGTTAATTTTTGTTGTTGTTGTTGTTGTTCCTCGACCACTTTATAATGTATTTTTTTAATTTATTATTATTTTGTAATGTCATGTTTTAAGTATTGCTGCTATCCTTGTTATTCTTCCCACTGTTTTTATTGCAGATTTATTTTGTGAAAGTTGTACACTAATGTTTCATTTTATGTCTAAATCAAAGTATTTAAAGAAATACTAGTTCTATTTAATGTGGTTATGGAACCAGCTGGAATAAACAGTGATTGTATAGTAGGCTGGACCCAGGAGGTCATGTTCATTTTTGTTACATATGCAATAAACTCACAACTTTAAACTCTTGCTATCCAACGGGTTCTTTTGTTAAGCGTTGTTAAATTTGTTAAATTTATGGGAATAGAGTGGGTAAAGCATGGAAATGCAACTGTTTTAACTGATCTGTATGGACTGCCCAGATGAAAGTCCTCCCCTGCAGGGAGAACACTTTGTTTCATTCATTTCTTCAGCTGATTACTTACCAGCCTCAACCTTTTTCCCTTATCATTTGTCCTGATACTTTTCCAACTCCTCAGTTTCCAGAAGGAAATGATGATCTCCCCCTTAACGAGAGCTGGAAAAAAGTCATTAACGCTGATGAATCTCTGCTTTCCTGTTGTGTTGGTGTTTTTTTTTAATTACTGGTGTTTTGCAAACGGAGGAGGACAGGTGCGAGTCTGAGTCTGTGGACTGGTGTTCCCCCCTTTCAGCAGAGCCCCCCGTGGGGTTCCCGGCACAGAACCCCAAATAAAGTCCCTGTCCCCAAATCGAGCCCCCCCGCCCCAGGACACACGTGCGGCCCCGGCCCGCCCCTTTCCCCTCAGGCCCCGCCCCTCCCCCAGAGCACACCTCCCGCCCGCCAGGGGGCGTGGCGCGGCTCGGCCGGCCCTCCCGCCGTCTCTATGGTAGGTCGGCCGCTCCGGGCTCGCCCGCGCCGCCCGTCCCCCCGCGCCGCTCTGTCCGCGCCTCTCTGTGGTGCGGGGCGGCGCGGTCACGTGGCGCGGGCCGGGCGGAAGCGGCGGCAGCGGCGGTTAAATGAAGCGGGGCCGGTGAGTGCGGGGGCAGCGCCGGCACCGCCGGAGTGTGGGGAGAGAGCCGGCACCCCCGCGGGGCCCGGGAGTGTGGGGAGAGCGCCGGCACCGCCGGGTGTGGGGAGAGCGCCGGCACCCCGCGGGGCCCGGAGTGTGGGGAGAGCGCCGGCACCGCCGGAGTGTGGGGAGAGAGCCGGCACCCCCGCGGGGCCCGGGAGTGTGGGGAGAGCGCCGGCACCGCCGGAGTGTGGGGAGAGAGCCGGCACCGCCGGAGTGTGGGGAGAGCGCCGGCACCCCCGGCGGTGTGGGGAGAGCGCCGGCACCCCCGCGGGGCCCGGCAGTGCCGCTGTGCCACCGCCGGGCCGACCGAGCGACAGAGGGGACGTTCCAGGGCCTCGCCGGACCCCCGACCGGGGCCTGCCCCGGGTGTCCTCCCCACCCCCCCTGAGGGCCCGGTGTCCGTCCCGTCTGTCCCTTCAGGTCCTTCCCCTCGCTTATTTTCGGGGACGGGTCGTTTTCCCCCTGTTTCCCTTCAGAGCCGGCTCTCCCATGTCCGTCCGTCCGTTCGTCCCCGTGTCCGTCACCACCCCCCCCTTCCCCCTCGGCCCCCCCCGCTTTCCCTCGGGATCGGGGACACTCCGTCCCCCCTCAGGACCGGGTCCTTTCCCTCCCCCCTCCTTCCCCTCAAGGCCGGTCCCGGGATAAGCCGGAGCTGGTGGGGAGAGGAGGATAAAAGGTTGTTCTTCTCTCCTGACCCCCCGCTCGGTGTGGGTGCCTTTGGGACATCTCGACATTCCAGGTATCTGCCGTGGGAGCTGCTGCAGGAAGGGGACCCAAACACAGCTGTCCCTGGCGCTGAGGGCTCTGTGTAAGAGATACTCCTCTTCCTCCTCCTCCTCTTTCTCTCTCTGTTTATCCGAGTGCCGGCTCGGTGGAGAGAGAGCAAAACCTGGAAGTTTTAATGTGCTCTGCCTTTGTGTGGGGGACGTGTCCAGTGAGTTTTTCTGCCTCTGGAGCTGACCTTGCCCCCTCCAGACAGGTGGAGGCAGGTCGGGATCCCACCCGAGGCTGAAGAGCTGTGGTGAACTACACCGTGTGTGCAGCGTGAGCTCCGCATGGCATTTTTTGGGGTGGGCAGAAAGGAGATTGGCTCAAAGGGTTGCCCGTGGATCCCTGGCTTTGCAGCTGTGCTGGCTGGAGCCCTGGGTGGGTGAGGGCTGACAGCACCTGTGGGTCCAGCCCAGGAGGTTTTTATTTTCATCTCACCTGTGCTTTATGACCCGGAGTGTTGTCTTTGAGAGTCCTCCAGTACTTTACCTTAGAGTCTTACTGGAAGATACTTAGGGTGGTTGTTCTCATGCAAATAAGTTTAGTTGCTGGTGGTTTTGTTCCAGTTTCCCTACAGCTCCTCGAGCAAGGATCATTTTCTTACCTGGTGTTATGGTTTGGTCACTGTCTGAGGCCTCTGATACTTTGAAAGAGAAAAGCTGATGTTGCTGCTTTGCACTTCTATTTCTGTTTCCAAGGTGTGGTGCTGAGGGACTTCAGCTTGTTGTGCGTTTGCTTTTCACAGTTTTCCTTGCTGTGTTTCTTTCCCATCTCCCTGCCTGCCCTGTGGATGGAACAGCAGGCTCCTGCTTTGCCTTGGGAAGAGGTTCTAAAGCCAGTCAGTTGTTGCCTTGGTGTCTGAGGGGCACAGGCAGTCCTGGTGCTAAGACTTGTGAGCAGATCCCTGTTTCTCTATTCTGTCTCTGTGGTGGTTGGTTCTTTCTTACAATTTCTGCTCTCTCTCTCAGCTGATGCACTTTGGAGCTGTCACAGCTTTCCAGCAGTAGCAGTGGAAGAGCAGGCCGGTGTCCCCCATCAGGCATTTGGACTGACCTTTGCATTCTGAGTTCAAGCGGCCTCTCCTGCCTCCAAAGAGGGGGACATAAGGGTTTTTCCTCCAGCAACCTGTTTGGAAAGCAAGGGGAGGGGGGAGATGTTTGAGACCCATCATTCTGCAGACCCAAATCTTGAGCAGATTGTGGTACATCCCTGAACAGGTACATGGGAATATGCACCTCAAACCATGTGGTGGAACCCATTTCCTTTAGGACTTGCAGGATTGCAGGGACAGCTTTTAATCCCAGGACTGTGGGATTCACAGCTTTAATATGGGCTTTTAATTTCTAGGGTGAATGCTGTGCAAAAACACCACTGCCTTACATCAGGCCTTCTGCAGTTGTAAACACGTTAATAGATTTCATGTGCTGGGTGTCTGCTGGTGTGACTCGATGTTAATAAACAATCGTCTTGACGGGAGTTTGTGCCTGGAATACCAAGACTTGGGAAGGGACTCAGACACATTTCCTGAAGATCTGTAGCCACTCAGCTGCATTTTGGTAACAGGCCTTCTTCCATCTCTTTTTTTTTTTTTTCCTCCCTTCCCAGGATGTTTTCCTGTTGGCCTGGCCGCAGCCAGGGCACCACCAGCAGGCCCTGGAAGAGCAGTTGGGGCAGGTGTTACTGGTGATAAGGTGCATTCTGCTTCCCAGCAGGGTGCTGGCAGCCTCTTCCAGGGCTGGAGTTTCAGGAGCTGCCTCGGAAGTCCAAATTCCTGGGTAGAGCAGCGCTTTGTGTGCCTGAGAATGCAGTGGGCGTTGCTGCCGCCGTCACTGGCAGTGTGACTTGTGCTTTGAAATTGGACACAAATCACTAAAAAGTCCTGTGGCAAAAATAGGTGGAGCAAACCCCGCAATTCCAGCCACTCCAGCACAGCTGGAGGGAGATGGGAAGCACATCCCAGGGGCCAGGAGCTGATTAACAAGCGGGAGTAGCACAAACCCAAGTGCGAGAGGCACGGGGCCCTTCGGGTGTTGTTTGGTGCCTGCTGGAAGAAGCTCCCATTCATTAGTGTGGAATGGGTGTCTTATTTTAATTTACATCATTTTATTGTGAGTGGTTTACTGTGTCACGGCGCTGGGTGTTGGGGCTCGCCACTGGCTGCGTTCTTTCTGGGACAACCAGAACTGCGCCGCTAATTCCTGTCACTGGAATTTTGGGGGTTTTTACAGATGGATTTGGTCTGGAGATATTTTAGGACTCCGTTTACATTGTTGAATTCGGGCATCACTGTAACTACTTAAAGGCGAGGCAATAATAGTCTCAGAGGTCTCTGTGTGCTCTGAGACAATGGTGTGTTTTATTGCTGTTGGTGGATGGGTTCAAGCTGCTCCATGTAACTGGGATTATTCTTGCTAGGATGTATCCCAGTGGGATAGGTGCCTTTTTAAATACAGTGACCAGTGGAAGGTGTGAAACACTCCAGCTATCTCCCAGTAGCAGCACAGGAGAGAAGGTTATTTGTGTACTGACTGGGAGTTCCTGTGTTTGAAATGGTGCTGAGTAATGGTGCTGATCAGCATTAGCCTGGAGTAGTTTTTGTTTTCAAGCAGGTTACTGGAATGGAGAAGTCTGGGAAATCAGGGAGGAGCAGGCAGAGAAAACAGGAAAAGAGGGGGAAAAAAAGCCACTTAGCAGCATCCTGGTGGCTTGAGTAAATTACCCTTACCAAAGCAGTGAGATGTGAGATAATAAGGAATGTTTCTCTGAGCTGGGACAATCTCGTGCTCAGCAGCCTTCATGTCACTTTTATTGAATTTCAGGTTTATTTTGGAATATCTTGGGAGTGATGTTTTTCTGCTGGGTCAGTGCTTAAGAGCTTGCACTGGTTTGAAATTCATAAAGATCCTTGAGAAAGCTTAATTCCTGAGGATGGGGGAAATGATAATTCCTTCTGAATGACACCTCTCTCCTAATGACCAACCCCGCTGTGGTCCCCTCCCTGTGTTCACAAGGGGGGCTGTCAGTGCCTGATTAAGTGGAAAAAGCATTGGGCTTTGGGGAAAGATTTCAAGGCAGGGCAGCTGCTGCCCCGAGTCACGGTGCCACCTCCCAGTGTTCCTGAGCTGGGTGAGGGGGAATTTAAATTAATGTGGCTTCCTTGCTGGCTTTGGGGAGCGAGCCCCACTCCTGTCCTGGTGCTGAAGGTGCCTGGCTGCTCCCAGGGTGAGTCTGGGAGGCTGTGGTTGTCACTCGTAAAGAGGAGCGAAGTTGTGGAGCTGAGATAAAACTGGCAGTGAGTGTGTGTGGGTGTCAGGGTGACCTGAAATGTTTTCAGTTGGCTTCCGTGGTGTTGCTCACCCTCGGTCTGCTCCCCCTGTAAGGAGGCCAAGCTACTGTTTGCATTATTCAGAGGAACATCGGGACAGGATCTGTGGAGGCATCACGTGATGCC